GCCTGACCCCAAGTCAAGACAAAATCATTCCAGTTACCTTCCAGTCAAAACAGGCTGCTTTTACACTAAACCGGTTTGTGTATTTTCGTTCAATTGTTTATTGTGACACCCAATTAAAGCTTAACGATTAACTCAATCTGGTTTGGAGATTTTTTAAGCCAAACATGACACCACCTTCTATCTCTGTATCCAAGTCATTAATATAGATTGTAAATTGTAGGAGCCCAAGGACTGAACCTTGTGGCACCCCACTTGTTTCAGCTTGCCAAACCAGAAAAAGACCCATTTATCCCAATTCTCTGCTTTCTGTTGGTTAACCAATCCTCTATCCAAGCTAAAATATTAGCCCAACCCCTTGTGATCTTACCTTGTGTATTAATCTGTTGTGTAGCACTTTATCAAAAGCATTCTGGAAGTCCAAATATACTGGATGAATAAAAAGCAGCTACTTTTTAAAAGTTCGGGTCAATAACAAAGGGTCATAATTTTAAGGTGAAGGGTGGGAGGTTTAGAGGGGATTTGAGGAAGAGGTTTTGCACCCAGGAAGTGATGAGAATTTGAAATTGCTACCTGGAAGGGCGGTAAAGGTAGGAAAACTCAAACCTTTAGGAAAATGTACAAATACATTCGAAATGCTATAACATTCAAGGATATGGGCTGTATTGTAAAATGGGATCAGTGGAGAGAGATCAGCAGATTCAATGGGCCTGTTCTGTGCTGTATGAACATGATCCAACCACAGGAGCCCCATTATCTACATTGCTGGTTACATCTTCCAAGAACTGACAAATTAAGTCAGACACGATTTATCCTTCATTAAATCATCTTAACTCTGATGGATTGGGTTTTGACTTTCCAAATGTACATTACTACTTCTTTAATAATTGATTCCAACAATTTCCCAACAAATGTCAAATTAAGTGGTCTATAATTGCCTATCTTCTGCCTCCACTTCCCACACCCCACCACCGAATATGGGTGTTATGTTAACATTTTCCAAGCGAGGAAATTTTCGTACATAATAACCAAAAGATCCACTATCTCTGCTACCACTTCCTTTAAGACCCAAGAATGTAGTTCAACAGGCCCTGGAGATGTGTTTGACTTGAATACTAAGTTTGCTCAGTACTTTTCCCCTAGTGATGCCTATTGTTTTAAGTTCCGCCTTTTCTATAACTTTGCATTATCTGTACTCACTGGCCCAGCCTCTTCAACCCTCTGCAGTAAAGGATTCCACAGATTCACAACCTTCAGGAAAAAAAAACCTCCATCACTACCCCTTACTCCAAGACTAGCAGTCCAGAACCCTAGGCCAGAGTTCTGTGGTCATGAGTCAAAATCTACCATGACAGGTGGTAAAATTTGAATTCAATAAAAATCTGGAGTAAACAGCTGGCCTAATGAAGACCATGTAACCAGTGATGACTGTTAAAAACCTATTTGGTTCACTGAAGTCCTGTAGGGAAGGACGTCAGCCATTCTTACCTGGTCCGGCCTACGTGTTAGATCCAAGCAACATAGTTGACACTCAACTGCCTTCTCGGCAAAAAATACCACATCGTATCAAGAATACTCCTTGTATGTTGTGGCAATAGGAGAGTTACGTAAAACATGAAAAATCATCATGTTTAATTCACAGCAAAATAAGTGGTTTTATGTATGAAGTTGCAAATAGGCTGTCACAATATTTGTAGAATTTGAAATTAAAAACTTTTAAATATATATCACTCAAACCTTTAAAAAAATTAAAAGCAGAACATTTCAAATAGCCACGCATTTACAATGCCAGGTACTGAGGCCTAAATTTATATTAGCATTCTGAACGCAACATCGTCTCAAAAGAAGTTGGCCATATTCCAAAGCCAGTTATTAGTTTGCAGAGCTGAAACTACTTTTAGTATTTCTCTTCCTATAAATCAAGTTAATTGTTCATTAGGTTTTATAAATATATAATATGCAAGTTATGAATAGTGTAAATCTGTCATGGTAAGTGTCTTAGGTTTGGAGTCCAATTGAAGTCACTGACCACAATCCAACTCAAAAATCAATTGGGTAATACTGGAGTACAAATCTTTAGCTCCTTCGGATACTGCCTTTCCAGAGTGGCAGGGCAAACTGAATTCATCTGCAATAATTTTTCAATCCAAATCCTGGAAATTCCTCCAACAATCTTGCTATCACTCATTAAATAATTTTGTTATTTGTCGATATATGCAGCCTTCAATAAGACAAGGCTTTTCAGTTCAGAATGATCTATTTTGGAGAGCTCACTGAACTTGCCTGTAAATCAAAAGAAATCCAATTGCACCAGATTTGGATGACACATCAGGCAAATGATTGTGGGCTGGACAGATTATGCGTAATGTCACTTATGTTTTATGGTATTAACCAATAATAAACCACATTTAACAAAGGATTTTTCTGTCATATGAGATACACAGGCCACACCACAAATGTGCTTTTAAAACTTTTGCTCCTTGTTTTGCCCTTCCTATTCTTAAAGCACTGACTCAAAACAGTTCTGCAGGACACAGCAATACTCCAAAACTATGACTACACTTAAACATTACAGCAGGGGTCATTGCTGGAATTCTCCCACCCCACCACCACCGCCACCGTCCTCCCCCACTTCCTATCCCTGCACATAAATACACAGCAATAATTTAAGTCTAGCTGTGGGCAGTCAATTTGGTATAGAGAACATGCTAATTTGGAACTTTCTGATCGCTTGTGGTTTAGAATCTCACTGCATATAACAATAAAACACGGCAGATCCGCACATGAATTTTGATCAGAAATTTCACTATAATGGGTTTAAAACGCTTATCCCCTAATTTTTTTTTTTATATACGTTCATGAGAAGTGGGCGTTGCTGGCTAACCAGCATTTATTGTTCGCCCCTAGTTACCCTTGAGAAGGTGGTGCTGAGCTGCCTTCTTAAACTGCTACAGTCCACCTGCTGCGGGTTGACCCACAATGCCATTTGGGAGGGAATTCCAGGATTTTGACCTGACAATGAAGGAATGGCGATATATTTCCAAGTCAAATTTCCAATTTAAAGTAAAGTAATCGTTAACATGCTTATTCTCCTTTTTAGGAGTTCTTCCCAAAGTGACAATTGCATTTGTTCTCAGAATCAGAGAATCCCTACAGTGTGGAAACAGGCCCTTCAGCCCAACAAGTCCACACCGAACCTCAGAGCATCCCACCCAGACTCATCCCCCTATAACCCACCGAATCTACACATCCCTATGGGCAATTTAGCATGGCCAATCCACCTAACCTGCACATCTTTGGACTGTGGGAGGAAACCGGAGCACCCAGAGGAAACCCATGCAGACATGGGAAGAATGCGCAAACTCCACACAGACAGACAGTGACCTGAGGCTGGAATCGAACCGGGGTCCGTGGAGCCGTGAGACAGCAGTGCTAACTACTAGGTTATTAGAAGTAGATGGGAATCAGGAATTGCAAACACAAACAGATCAACTATGCAAAGCTGACTGAAGAGCTGAATGGTTGACTTATGTTTCTATGTTGCATTTTTGTCTGGATGTAATAATTATCCATGCCACCTTAATGCAGAGGGCTTTGGTTTACACGATGTAGGTGGTTTGCTAATCTGTTAAATTTTAAAAAAGCAAACTATATAATGCTACTCCAAATCAAGACTATTTCTCTTCTAGTTTTGTTCTTACTCAACATCTCACAGTAACAATGTCTGTCACTTATGATTCATTTTGCTTCAGATATTTTCCCCATTCTGACGCAATTTTCAAAATGAGCAGTTTTGAGTTGACACATTGCTCAATCCGAGATGTGCAATTTTGCTAGCTGCATTAGAGTGTGCTGAAATTGCTTTGCAGTGTCACTTCAGCATAAAAAAAATCTTTTATAAGCTGTTTAGAACTTTCTTCTACTGTTATTTGAAATACAAGCCTTGATTAAATTGAATGGACTATCTGCTTCCTGGGGAAAAAGTTTATTTTGATTAGTGAAGAATTTACCAGGTCACACTAACTATCAGAAATGTATTTATTTTCTTCCAAGTATTAGAATTTTAGAATAAATGTACAACTATGCCTGTGAATGACATTTATCCAAAAAGATTGCTTGCTACTTTAGAGTATGATAGACTAGCCATACCGCAACATTTCTCAGCATTTATTTAGATTAGTGAACAGCAGCTAAACAAATGCATACTTGAGCTTCTATTTACTAATATAGGATCAAAATAAGCACAAATTTGGAAGAGAAGCTACTATCTTGGCTAAATACAAAAGGCAAGTTCATTTTGCTGCTTCTGACCTCTATCTGTAGCATTACTGCAGTGTGGATTCTTGGATTATTCAAGTCTTTGGAAAGTAGATAAAGATTAAAACATTGCCCACATTGTATACGTAGCTTTTTTTAAATAAGAAAAAGACAAATTTAAATAAGTTATGGTATAGATACTCAAAAACTTTGTAATACTCGTAAACAATATTAAGCAGTTGACAGAGATTTTTTTGGTAGCTTTCTTCCCCCACTGCTGCAAGAGAAAACAACCTGTGATATGAAGTGGTTGTTTTATTATCATTGACAAACAACATTGTAACTCAGTTTGTCAAGTGTCTGTGAAACTCACCCAACAAGCATAAAAAGTGACAGAAGTCTTGGCATCACTCTCATAAGTGAGAAGAGGCCAAGTGGCTCCAGAAACAAAACTGAATAGCGACCACTCTGCAACTGCCAGAGACCAGCCATTTGCAGTCATGTACGTTGAATTTAAAAGGCAGATGAAGTGACTTCTTATTTATATTGTATTACAGTCTGGTTTGAAATCAAGACATTTAAGATGTGAACATATCAATGTGCATGCATAATTATTTGTGTTGCAAACAGCCTGAAATCTACCCTTCAACACAAATATGATAATTCTACGGTTTAAAACTGTATGTTTTGTATTGACCTTTTATCTGAAGTGTTCACTATAATACAACCAGTAATGTGCACAGATGTAAACTGAAAGAAATATTATTGGGTTTAATTCTTCATAAAATCATTTGTATTTTTAGGGTAGAAAATGATACACATGAACAAGGCTAAATAACATCTTAATAGTACCAGAACTGAAATTCAAACAAATGATTTACATTAGGTAGCACCTCCTATGGCTTTGAGATGTCACAGAAGTTCTGCAGCTGGAGGTGATGGGCTGAAGGAATCAATGGCATTAAGACAAGAAATGTCCAACCTGAAAAAAGGTACCCAAAAAACCCATTGGCATATAACCTAGACCTCAAGTTGGAAAATGATGCAGCAACTAATTGATTCTTAACTGACTCTGGTTGCAACGGGGAAGCAGTGGCTGCTGTACAGTATGCTCCAAGTCCTTTCTGGATTGATGACTCAAGATGTGCAGAATGAATGCCATTATTCATCAACCTGTGGCTCTTGTTAGTCTATATTTTGATGCAGCAGTGCAATTAAGTGGGTGTGCAGTTAGTTACACTTGCCCCATTGGACTTGCCCCATCATACTTCAATGTAAAACAACGGTGTTGACTAACTTGCTCGAAGTACAGTCCATACAGGATTCATTTAAGCATGTAAATTTAAGAATTCTAAAAGAAACTGCATAGTCACTTCCAAGGAATTAGATTACTTTTGCATTCAAGCTTTAAGCTATTAAGTATTTGATGTAGTCCAGAATCAAAACAGACATGGAGAATTTTGGTCAACTGCAGATCCAGTGTATATTTATCTCTACAGCAATGACACAGAACAGATATGAAATCAAACCATCCTATTCTATTTCATTGGATCACTTCAGGGGTCACCTTCTTTATCTTCATATTGTATTTACTACCCGCTTTGCTAGCTTAGGCCCTTGACCAAAATTTGAATCAGTACTTTCTATTGTTCACTAGCAGTGAGCAAAGGCATTTTATTTGAATGCCATTCTTCCAGCTTCCATTTAGAAATGGTAAGATATTACTTTTTTAAAAAAATCAAGTTCCATTTAATACAACTATATTCATACAAGTTTCATTTTCCCATTGAGTGCCCCAGCCTCCATTTGATAAGTGTCCAGAATGAAATGAATAAAATCCAATCAACATAACATTCCTAATTAGCCCACCACAATAAAGTTTGTTTCGTAAATTTTGTACATTGCTGCAGACTACAAGACTTCCATTTTTTACTGAAAAAAGCAACTTGAGAATTTTCATATTTTTGTTCATCTCTGCAGATCTAAGTATTTAGCAATTTTCACAAAAACAATCCATAAAATATCAGTGATTCAATACAACGTAATAAAGTGTTAATTTACAACAACAGACCCAAATTTATTTTTTTAGCCAAGACTTTTCTTTTGTGGTTGGGTAATCGTAGGTGGGTCTCCTGACCACAATTAGATGAATTCTGTGGATGACATTCACCTAACCATGTATGTAAATGTGAAAAGGACTCTGGGAACTAATGAGACTTTTGGGATGAAAGTGATTGAAATGTGTACATCAAATTCACTTGGCAAAAAATTCAGTGAGTACTTTACAAAGCTCTATCAATGCTCAAAATTTACCTTTGGGAAAACAAGTGTGACATGTTCAAATGGAGTCAACACAAACACAATGAATGAGACCAATGTGCTACATAAGATGCTGTTGCATTAGACAGTGAGAGAATCCTCTATATATAGAAACATTTTTACTTTTGTGTGACTGATGTACAATATTAGTGCTCTGGCAGGTACAGGTGTATAATAATGCTGTAGTTAAGCTAATAGACTGGGAATCCATATGTAGGCCTGGGCTGAAAATTTACACTCTGGTTCAAATCAGACCATGATCATTTCAAATTCAGTGTAGAAACAAACCTGGAAATTTAAAAAAAAAAATCAAACATGCACACTGTCATAAAAACTCTGGTTTGCTAATATGCTTTATGGTGGAAAACCTATTATCCTTACCTGGTCTGGTCCACTGGCAACTGCAGTATATCACCTATATGATCGATTTAATTGCCTTCCTAGTATGTAGAACACTGTTAGAACACCATCTCAGTGTGAAAAATAATGTCCAATAAACAATGACACTGTCAAAACAATTAGCATCACAAGAATGAATTGAAACGGTAGTCTGAAAGGGGACAAGGGCAGACTGTGATGGCTTGGATGATGAACTTCATACCACCACTGACCTACTTAGTCTAAGCAGCCAAAAAACCAAACAACATTTCCAATCCCAAAGGTGACACTTTGTTAAAGCAAAATGGGACTGTTCACCCGAGGCTGTCAATAGTCAAATGCGATGAGGAACTCGCTAAGTGCAATATATCAAATATCACTTGACATATTCAAACAGGTGACATTAATGCTTTTAAAATAATTTACAATAGACACGATTAAAAGTTGAACATTTTGAATTGAAAACTATTTGACATCAGATGTCTCTAGATGGACTGATCTCAGATTAGCTAGATGGTAACTTGGCAAAGCCGGTTTTATGTAGTACTGTACTTCTCCCATCCAAACAAAATCAAAAACACAAACTTGCATGAACAGCTCTAAGGACTGTAGTGAAATTCACCAATGCATCCATTCCTACACACAAAATTTGAGAAGAGCAAAATTTGAACATTTTGGAATCAAAATTCCAACAGAAAGAGTGAAAACCCAAGCAATTTTATTTCCAAAATTACCAAATCTATAAAAACCTAGTCAATTGTAGTATCAAAATACTAGTAGAAATACATCCATACCAGAACAATGAAATCCTAACATATGCCTTGAAAAACACAACTGTTTTAGTCACAGAATACAAAAAGGTACTTTCTTCTGCCATTTTTCAGTATCAGTTTTGAACTGCTCTTCTGAAAACTCTAACTTAAGCTGGTATTGAACACCATCCAGCACACATACATGACTACTTTTCATCCGAGTCTTGATGAGCATTAGTACAGTAACTGGCAAACAAACTTTAAACCTAACAAATGCAATGTAGTGAATTTTAGGAAAAAAGACGTTCAAGCGGCACAGATACAAAGAACAGAATTGGCAGAGGACCACTCGGGAGTGACAGTAGGCTCACCACTTCCAATATTGAGAGAATGTGGGTCAGCAATTTAAAAAGCGAAAAAATATGATACATACCATGAATAATGGATTACAAGTCTACAAATATCACATGATGTTTTATAATGCATGGAACAACGTCCTGCAATATCAGGTACAATTCTGGTTACATTTTAAAATAGATACAGATGCACTGACAAGGATGCAGAGAACAGCAACAAGAATTACAGCAAGATGTAAAGTGGATGAGCTACAAGGAAAGATTAGAGAAGTTTAAATTCATCAAGGGAATAAAAATGCTGAATTGTAAAAATAAATATCAACCTTTTGTTAGATTAGCAGGTGTTTAGTGCAAAATAAATTCAAATAGATCCAGGGATGGATTAATGGGTGATAAACTAATGAAATGATCTGTGGGAAAAGACAAAAATCAAACACATCAGGATGTTCAAGTCACAGTTAAACATTAGGTTGGATGACTTAAACAACTAAAAAGGGACAAACTTAATGGGCTGGTTGGCCTTTTCTCACTCCTGACATCAAATATTTGATGTCTACCCTTCAAATTGACTTCCATTCTAGCCCAAGTTGTCTGACCAATGGAAACGGATCAGAGTGTCAAATAACTTAAATTTTACTTTTTTTTTTTACTCGAACAGTTGCTTCCATTCATAACTTGTTTATCAAGTGCCAAAAGAATACTTGGAGTTGTCTCCAGAATTTATTTGCTTAAATTCACAATGCAGAAGAAATTACTTTTATGACAATGGAATTAATACATCAGGTCTGAAATCTGATAGCATTTAGCCAACTGTTAAAACTTTGCTGGCAAATCAGTAACTTTTTGATCTTGAATGCCAATTGACTGCAAAACTGCTCAATATTTGAGTTCATAACCAATATCAGGTTAACAATTCAAGGGGGATTGGCACTAAAAATCAAATTCACTAATTTTTAAAAAATACTTCACTTCGGAAGTACTTCCCTTATTTCTACAATATTTAGAGCTGAGGCAAATATAGGTGGAAATTGCTTCAAGGCAATAACTATTTAAATTTTAAAGAAATTACACCCATTTGAGTCTTATACCCACGACGAAATGATTGTCAGTGTGATGCAGTGTATTGTATTCTTCTGAATCACAGGGTCTCGGTTCCAGCATCACGAGGGACATAAAACACATGACCTAGGCTGATAGTTAAGGGAACACTGAGCAGACTGCTGCATTGCTGAAGGTGAGGCAACAGCTTTGTTAGATGGTCTGTAAAAAAAAGAAAATTCATGGTACTGCTTGCAGGATGTTCGCCTGATTTCCGGACCAACAAAATCTCCATCAAAAGCAAATCCCATTTGCAATCAGCTAACATATTTTGATATGTAACAGTTACTATATCTCAAAAGCAACACATTGATTGTGAAGCACTTTGGAGAGTCCACAAGACATAAAACATATTAAACAGTTGGCTGTGAGATTGTTACCATGGCGCCATAGAATCTGCTCACTAAATGAGCTCAGCCCTCTAACTCTGAAGGGGAAGGAGGTAGCCATATTAACATTAGAAGGCAGAAAGATCCAGTCTGACCAGACATGCACATAGACTATGGAGGGACAGAGGACAATCTTAATTCACCACTCTTTTTCCATATTCTGGTCTATGTTCAATGTTTGCCATTTTAGTATACCCAAAGAGGCTATAAAGCTATTTTTTTATGTTGAATGCCCTATTCATATTTGTTAATATACCGGTGGCCACTAACTTGTCAAACTCTGTCCCAATGTCCCAAATGCCAAACTTAGGACCCTTTATATTAATGTTTCAACTTTTACTGAAAAGACAGCAATCTTGCACCATAGAAACACTGGACCAAAATCCATAGGACTACAATTCTTGACTAAAGTACAAACAGGCTTTTTGCAGCTTGAATGTAACAGATGTGGCATCAATATGTCAGGGACAGATTAAGAACAAATTACACTTTATATACAATTTCTCACTTTTAACGTGTAATAAAAAAATAAACCACTGTAGCAATCAAATAGCCAAAAAATTGAACTATCACTTGTGGAAGTATTGTAACTATTAAAAAAAGCTGGGAACATGTTTCAACATACAAAAGCAGTGCTTTTTGAGGGAAAATCATACAAAATTAACTCCATGCTTAATGGCCACATTTCTAATTCAGTTAATAGTAGAACCTCATTTATCAGATGTCAGTGTATCCACTAAACTTCAGTTTTTACTCAAGTGGCAAAGCAAATCTACCAGATATTACTAAATACTGTTTTATTAAAATGATTGAAAAAATAAAGCTATGTTTAACATATCTGTAATGTTGTATGTATTGCAGACAGAGCAGAAGCTACTTAAAGCTTCTGATTTTTTTTTTTTGAAGTACATTGGGATGCTCCAATATCACAATGCGCTAAGAGATGATATGAAAGAATATCTCAATTTTGGATATATATATATATATATATATATGTGTGTGTATATATATATATATATATCATCATAGTAAATGTGATAGCAGCCACAATCTGATCGCAGTGGTAATCCTGAGAATTCGGAACGAAAAATAACCCTTTTGGTATTCTTAAGTATGAGGAAGAACCAGTTGAACAGCACAAAAAGCAGCAAAATGTGAATTAAAGTGTAGTCAATTGAGTTGTCACAATGCTAAATTTTATAAAAGGAGATGTACACTAACTGGTATTGCATTTACCCACAATGTTACTGTGCATTAAAACTATTTAAAGAAAGCTTGAAACTGCATGTATGGCTCTCCTTACGTGACATCATGATATTCTGTCATAAATTGGCTTGTGTTACTTTACAAAATATCAAGATATCAAGCAAGGTGGAGCATACCAAAAAATACCCATTACCAACCTGCTTCAAACCAGTGGTTTTTAAACACACAGCAGCTCGGCAACTGAGACATCAGTAAGCATACAGACACCTAAGTTATTGCTGTGCGCTCTGCATAGTTGAATACACACCCCTTTAAGGTGATAGATTTGAAGAAGTAACTTAATCTTAACACAAGGCTTGCAATTCACTAATTTTTTCAAACTTATCACTGGAATCAAAGCTGTAATTTACGAATCAGAATTCAACTTTTCCTTTCTGCCTATTCTGTTTCAGTAGAGGAACCAGCTTACATCTATGTTTAGATTGCCTTTGTGTAACAGATCATATTTAGCCAGTTTGACTTTAGTGCTTCTTTGTTTCTTAAATTATCATGATAAAGATCATGATATTGTAACTGATTTTTGTCCCAAATCATTAGGGTATCATATTGAGACATCCATTAAGTACAGCAATGCAGATTGACAGATAATCATAAAAATAAGGTTCTCCTCTCAAACACCACCTTCAATTGATAATAAAGTCACACGACTCGTTTTTTTTAAAAAAAAATAATAAAAATTAGGACAGTTCCAGCCAGTGACCAAAATATAGGTCTTTACTGGTATAGTAGGTGATGAGAATATACAGCAAGGTCAGGCCTGGAACCTGGATACTTCAGAGCCCATTGCTCATAGGAAGAAAATATAAACTATTTGGTAACAAAAGTGTACTATATGTATAATACAAAAAAAAGGTATGGTGAAACTGTACCTCCACTAAAGCTTATACAAGTTTCTTGGTCCGTAGAAACTATGTTATTTTTGTATGCATTCTCTAGTCTTCTTTACCAACATCCCACCCAAATTCTTTATATCTTGCCCTCGCTTTAAACAGCTGAAAAATAGATTTCCATTTTAGCTCTTTATAAAGTTTTATACATAGGTGTATTTTCTTAATGTGGTAACACCTCTTGCAGATTATCAATGCTTGACATGTCCACCATCTAAACAGAGAGGTGATTTCCACAATACCACAAGAATTGTTGATACTAGTAGGGTTTTCTTTGCAGCACTTCAACAGTTTTGCATCTTCTCCCTTCCCAAGAGTTGGTCACTGTCTCTAAACCACTTTAATAGTTAGGAGACTACTGTTGCTGCTGATGTGACAATAGCTGAGTTTGTGCTGACAGTTGTGTAACTTCCCTCACTGTTTGTGTTCGAGTCATTTGACGCCATCAAGCTGGAATTAGCTCTAAGGATGGCTCCAGCAGCACTGCAGTGTGGTCTTGGTCCAGGCTCTGGTGTATATGTAAAAGTAAGGCTCGTAGAGTAGATAATCCCATCGTTTCGAACCAGTGTGACTGGGACCTGAACAGGTTGACGGACCCATCGCCAACCCTCTCGGAATGCAGAAATATCTGGAACAACACAGAGCATACTCTCTGCGCACCTTTTAAGAAAACAGTTAAAGTGATTTAGCAAATGGTTAGATAAATGATTTTCATTTCAGCTACACCATGATTGTGTTTAAAGGTACAGTGTCTACATTGAGCAACATAGTTATGCACTGAGGGAATAAAACTTCATTTGATGCCTTTGAAATTGACCTTATTGTAGGAAAGACCTGAGATACCCAAAAATACAAGTACATCCCAAATTCTGACATGAGAACCAAACTGCATCCATTCAAATATTAGAATTCTCACACACAGCCAGTTTGAATCACATAAGAGTACACACCTGAAATATTTATGTCCAGTGGATCAAATGCAACATTACTAGATCCCATTGCAAGAAGTGCAAACAGCTTAGTCATTCAAGCTGCAGATTACTTAAAAGTAAAACACACCCAAATCTAAATTCAATTGTGCAATATATAATTACATTAAAAATTATGAGGTTGCACTGCACCACTAGGTACAGAATATTTCGATACTCTTATTTATTTGGCATAGACTGACTTTGATTTTATTCCAATATTGAGGCTTCCATCTTGCTATAGAATTTGCTCAGAAGTGTTTCAATAAAATTTTGTTTCAATTAAATACTGTTGCCGCCATACAGTGCCACATTTGTACGCCACAAACTGGCATAAATATGACACTGCATTGGTATTCTTACAGCCGCAGCTCAGCTTGAGCAGTTTAGAAGTTGTCTAAGAGATATTAAAAATTCACATTAAGAAATAATACACAAAGGCAGAAAAGATGTTTATTTCTGACAGGGGATGAGTGTGGAAAGCTGATCAAATTTGCCCTCTCCTCCTGCGCTGTGTCAAGATCAACAGTGCTCTAACATGAATTGATGCCTTTATATATAAGGAGCGTAGACAAAGACCAAAGCAACAGACAAATAACCATGCAATTAGAATAAAGACAAAATGTTCCATAGGTAAAGATGAAGCTGCTCACAGGTAAGTATGATTTACAATTGATTGGTCTGCAAACTAATCTGACTTTTAGTTTTGGCACAGTTTTTAAGCATAGCTTCCCAGCTTCAAAGGCATTCTGGATTTGCAAGTCACTCTAAATTTAAACGTTGCTCAAAATCAACATTTCAATGCTACATTGACTGAATTATTTTGTTCATTATGTTTGCTAAATTGAATTACAATATGATCCACTTGGTTTAGAAAATTGAAAAATTGCTAAATGTCAAAGACAAAAATTTAATCATGAATTAGATCATTAGGCCATTACTATGCAGAATGAAGTCAATTGGCTCAGTGCTAATAGAGTTGGGCACTTAAGGATTGCTTGGGCACTCAAATGACACTGAAAGTTGCTTACACAATGCTTCACCACAATTTCCCTCAAGAAGTTTGAACAGTCTATCCCAATGATTGCTAATACAAATTCAAATGTCAATATGTCTCCCTGAGCAGTGCTTTCATAAAATTAACATTTAGTAATGGAGATAAGCCTGCTCCAGGCTTGATCAGTAAGTATTGCTGTATGGTGATTTAACAAAAAAAAATTGCTGCAACGTTCTGGGCCAGAGAACAAAATAAATTCAGGTTCCCTTATCCCAAAAAGTTTATCAGTTTGATTTCCAGGACTACTTTATGTATTCCAAGAATATATAAAGATTCCTCTATTAAATGTGTGTAAACATTAGCAATATGACTGTGCTGACAGACATATTGCGCCTATAGCCAAAGAATGAAGCCGACAGAATACAGATGGGAACAGGTTTAAGGGCAGCAGAAAAATGAATAAGTAGCAGCACTGAACAAATAAGTGTTAATAAGATGAACATGAATGGAAAACAGTAACTCCTTTAAAATGAAGATAAAGTGCCAGTGTATATGGACAACAGGTCATAAGTAATCAGCCAGGCACTAATATTTAAATCGGACTTAGTTATCTCCAGTGACACAAAAGAGCAAAACAAAGTAAAACAATCTTTTCTCCCCCCACTGAACATGATTCAACCAAATTAAACTCAAAATAGCAGTCTATAAAATGTTTAATAAATTTCTTTACCTGTACATGGTTTCAGCTTCCACATCACCGAACCAAACTCGCAGATTAGGTGTAAAATTCTGTCCCGTGAGCTCGAGCATTGCAACATCCCCACCTCCATTTAACTACAAAAGAAAAGCTCAGTTGTACGTAGCCATCTCTTGTATGCACATCCACAAAGAACTGCAAAGTTATGTCACATATTTAACAATTAAACACATTGCCTTAAACCTAACTGTTGGTGGAGTGGAGATAGTAGGAACTGCAGATGCTGGAAAATCTGAGATAACAAGGTGTAGAGCTGGATGAACACAGCAGGCCAAGCAGCATCATACAAGCAGGAAGGCTGACGTTTCGGGCCTAGACCCTTCATCAGATGAAGAAGGGTCTAGACCCGAAACATCAGCCTTCCTGCTTCTAGGATGCTGCTTGGCCTGCTGTGTTCATCCAGCTCTACGCAATAAGAGTGGAATTCCTTTGCTAGGTTATACAAGGCTTATTCAAAACACTCACCAGTATTAAAAACAGTAGTTATTCCATTGCTGAAAAACAACCCTTCAGCTTAGAATCAGCTACGATATAACACACTCTCTCATAGAGAAGAGAAGTTCTTTCGACAATCTCAACTTTGTAGATGCTGTTGCAATAAATTTCTATTTCATAGTAACCCTAGAGGGTGAATCCTGCTGAATTTAATTACTAGGATTCATTCGCGTTTTCCAAACTGCATGGCTTGTGCATTAAAGCATTTTTTATAAATTCAGAGACCGTGGGTATCACTGGCTAAGTCAGTACTTATTGCCTATCACTAATTAAACAGGAGGTGGTGACGGTGAGCTGTCTCCTTAAATGTAGGCATAAGCAGTGCACTTCCTGAAAGGAAGTTCCAGGATTTCAACGCAGCAATAGTGCACAAACAGCATTACAGTTCCAAGTCAGGATGTTTTATTGCTCAGAGTGGAAATTGCAGATGATATTCCCATGCATCTGCTGCCCTTGTCCTTTTCAGTGGTAGAGGTTTGTGTTTAGAAGGTGCTGCTGGGAGGTGCCTTGAGTTGTTGTAGTGCATCTTGTAGATTGTACACACTACAGCCACTGTTCGTTGGTAGTGAAGGGATTGAATGCCGAAGGTGGAGAAAGTGCCAATCACTTAAATGGAGAAAATTTCAGAAAGCTGCAACACAAAGGAACTTGGAGGTATTCGTAAACAAAACACAAAAAGCTAGAACACTGGTGCAGCAGGTAATCAAGGATAATGGAATTTTGGCTTTTATTTCAAGGGCATTACAGTACAAGAATAGCAAAGTCTTACCACTGTGCAAGGTGCTAGGGAGACCACATCTGGAGTACGAGGGCAGTTTGGTTGCTTATTTAACTAAAGATATTATTTCATTGGACGCAGTTCAAAGAAGGTTCAGTAGATTGATCCCTGGTATGGAGGGTCTGTCTTATGAGCAAAAGCTAAACAAATTAGCATTCTAGTCTCTGGATTTTAGAAGAATAAGAGGTGATCTCATTGATGGGCCTGATGGGATAAATGCCGAGAGGATATTTCTTCATGTAGAGTCTAGGACCAGAGGGCGTAGTCTCAGAAAAAAGGAGTACCAATTTAAGACTGAGTTGAAGAGGTATTTACCAAAGGTTTAAGTGTCTTTGGAACTCCTTGCCACAGAGTTGTGGGGGCAGAGATAACTTTGAGATAAATAGATTCTTGAATAGTCAAGGAATCAAGGGTTACAGAAAAAAAAAGCAGGGAAGTGGATACAAGGAATGATGGATCAGCGATGAAATACTGAATGGCAGAACAGGCTCAAGGGGACAAACAGCCCACTCCTGTTTCTGTTTACGACCTTTGCTCTGGATAGTATTGAGCATCTTGAGTGTTGTTGAAGCTGCACTCATCCAGGCAAGTGGAGATTATTTCATTACACTTCTGACTTGTGCCCTTTGGAATCTAGATAAGCTTTAAGGAATCCAGTGGTGAGTTGCCTCCTTAACCACAGTATTTATACGACTGTTCCACTTCAGTTTCTGGTCAATGGTGACCCCGAAGATGTTGACAGTGGTGAACTCATCTGTGGCATTGCCATTCAATGTCAAGGGTTGATAACCATTGTCTCCTATTGAGATGGTTTTGCTTGGCATTTGTGTACTGCCAGATGTTACGTGCTACGGATCAGGCCAAGCCTGAATGTTGTCCAGATCTTGCCAGTACTACTGCTGGAATCTTGTCAGGAATGCAAATGTTGCAGTATCTAGTGTATTCAGCCATTTCTTGATATTATGTGGATTGAATCAAAATGGCTGACGACTGATATCTGGGGAGCTTGAGAGGTGGAGGAGATGGATCATTTACACAGCACTTCCGGATGAAGATGCTTGCAAAACATTCAGTCTTGTCTTTTATACTAATGTGACTCAGTAATCAGAGTATGGGGATATTTGAGGAGCCTCCTCCTCTAAGGATTTTAATAATCTACCACAATTCATGACTGCAGAAACTCACTCGGACTTCTTCAACAGCACTATTCAAACCCAGAAACACAACCATCTAGAAAGACAAGGGCAGAAGATCCATGGGAACATCATGATCTGCTAAGTCAGAAGTCACAAGACACCAGGTTCTCGTCCAACAGGTTCACTTGAAATCACAAGCTTTCCAAGTGCTGCTCCTTCATCTCACCTGATGAAGGATCAGCTCTCCAAAAGCTTGTGATTTCAAGTAAACCTGTTGGACGATGATCCGGTGTCGTGTGACTTCTGACTTTGTCCACCCCAGTCCAACACTGGCACCTCCACATCATGACCTGCCAGTTCTCCAAATCTCATACCATCCTCACATGAAACCGTACTCCCACTCCTTCACTATTGAGGGGTCAAACTTCTGGAACTTCCTCCTTAATCGCACCATACATCTCCCTACACTCAAGGTTTAGTTCAAGAAGGTAGCTCAACACTACCATCTCTTCCAAGACATCCAAGGATGGGTAATAATTGCTCTCCTAGCCAGTGGGGGGAAAAAGGCAGAAGGAAGGTGCAGACAAGGCAGGTTATTTTCGTTCATTTCCTGCCTGGTCAAGCAAGGGGGTTTCTCTTTGCCTGGTGAAGGCCCCCGCCAGCCCTTTCCAAGATCAGACCCTTGACCTCCCCAACCACATGCTGAGGTCTCCAAACCCAGCCCATCTAAAATACCAAACTGCCTCTGGGTTCAGTCTCGATGACTTTTCCCACAGGGACAGCTTGTAGTCTCAGGAACAGTCAATGCTCGACTATACCGCAGCCAATCAAATTTGCCCAAGGTGGAACATTCTCCCAAATGCTTGCATGTTCACAGCAATTAAGGCTCCTGCCAGGGTAATATTACTGACAGGTATTCAGTTCTGCATCAGCAGGCTTACAACTAACTTTCCTATCACTTTGAATGAAAACACGTTTTACCATAAAATCTACCCCATAAACAAAAGTGAACAATAGTTCTCACAATTCTGACATGAACATCCCTGTGCTGCAGCCTTGTAACATATTTTGGTTTTTCCTTTCTTCTATACATGATGCCCACAGTTCCAACTAAGATTCATCAAATAAGATCCTATTGAAAAATCATGAAGAATTTATTTAAATTTGTGACAACAGATTTAAACAGAAACATTACAAGTTTAAGAGAAAGAAATTTTCTCACAGTAATTTACTCCATATTCAGAAAGTACCACCTGCATTGTGAAAGAATGACGACAGATGAGGATTCCAGTACACTTTTTAAATTAAAATCAAAAATCTGCAAAGGGAAGTGTCTTATTACATACTCCTTACATTCCTTAGTCATGTTCCAAAGATGGCCAAAAGACAAAATTTAAATAATCTGAAGTTAGAAAAGACTTCATGAAAAACCAGAAGTTTATATCAGCGGAGGGAAATTCTGGGAAAAGGAAACCAGGAACATCAGGTTTTTTATATGTTATGTTTGGACATAAACAACAGATGAATGAATAGGACAAAACAGATACATTAAAAAAAGAACACTCAATCCAATAAGACATGACTTTAAAAGACCCTCACATGAAGCAGGCAACCCAGGGAACAGGTGCAGGGAGTGAAGTGTGGGCCTGGCCTACATCAACCTGTTACTACAAACCCTGGGTGGGCACTTGCCTATTCTTGGAAGGCACGGCTTTACCGGAGCTTCATAAAAGGATTAGGATTCCAAAATTGGTGACAAGCAACCTTTTACGTAGTTTGTTTTATCTGGAACATGAAGGTACAAGCAAGTTATCTTTCCGTTGTGCCGAAGTCAAAATTATGTACACTAAAGACAGAATCATACAGCTGTACAGTATGGAAACAGACCCTTCGGTCCAATTCATTCATGCCAACCAGATGTTCTAAATTAATCTAGTCCCATTTGCCAGCATTTGGCCCATATCCCTCTAAACCCTTCCTATTCATATACCCATCCAGATGCCTTTTAAATGTTGTAATTGTATCAGCCTTCACCACTTCCTCTGGCAGTTCATTTCATACACAACACCCTCTATGTGAAAAAGTTGTCCCTTAGGTCCCTTTTAAATCATTCCCCTCTCACCTTAAACCTATACCCTCTAGTTTTAGATTCACTTACCCTCGGGGGAGAAACCTTGGGTATTCATCCTATCCACGCCCTTCAGGATTTTATAAACTTCTATAAGGTCACCCCTCAGCTGCTGACGCTCGAAGGTAAAGAGCCCCAGCCTACTCAGCCTCTTCCTATAGCTCAAACCCTCCAATCCTGGTAACATCCTTGTAAACTTTTTCTGAACCCTTTCAAGTTTAGCACCACTCTTCCTATTGCAGGAAATCCAGATTTGAACATTGTAATCAAGAAGTGGCCTAACCAATAACCTGTATAGCCACACTACTGCTCATTTTGCCAGGCATCTACCTTAATTGCTGAACAAAGCAACTGCTATTACCCATACATCTATTACAGTAGATAAAACACTTCTCTTTGCTATGGTCATCACTGCTACCCCAACTAACATCTCGTAACAGGTTATGTCACTTACCATGCTTTCAATGCCTTTGGGCTACAATCTGCATTGTAAGTTACAAAAACAGAAGTTGCTGGAAAAGCTCAGCAGGCCTGGCAGCATCTGTGAAGAAAAGATCAGAGTTAACCTTTCCGATCTGGTGACCCTTCCTCAGAATAACACCTCATTTTCTGCTTGGGGACCCTGTAGCCCTCCAGACTCGATATCAAGTTCAACAATTTTAGGGCCTAAACTCTCCCATGTCGTAGCCCCCTACCCCAGGCCTTGTTATCACATAGACTGCCATTATACATACCTATTGTTAGTCACTAACAGTCCCCATTAACACCTATTCACCCTCCGAGCCAGATTGTTATCAACTCCTTTGTCTATTCAACCGCCCTTTGGGCTCTACCCTTCATCCTATCGCTTACTCCCTTCCCCATCCCCTATTTTCTAATTTAAATTGACATTTTCCCAGCTACCATCAGTTCTGAGGAAGGGTCACCAGACCCGAAACGTTAACTCTGATTTTTTTCTTCACAGATGCTGCCAGACCTAAGGTTTTCCAGCAACTTCTGTTTTGGTTCCTGATTTACAGCATTCGCAGTTCTTTCAGTTTGCATTGTAAATTGGTTTGCGACTATCCTGCAAAACACGAGGGGAGGATGGGGTGCAATTAAGCATTCGGTGGTCCATGATTAGCTCCAACAAGTATTAGGAATTTATCCAATGTTTAGAAATTCATCTTAGTAGATGGATGGAAAGAATTTGCGACACTCTGTCATATCTTCTCATTTCCTTATGAACTCTAAGTCAATTCCTTCACATCTGTGCTGCCTATACCTAAACTCCAAAATGAACCATCTCCACTTTCTAACTCACCTACCCTCAAGAATTTGCATGTGAATTTGCTTGTGGGACAGCTTGCTTTAATCCCATTCTCATTAAACTGACTATCAAACTTCCTCCCGTGTCCAAAATGGTTCTTTCAAATTGTTCAGTCTCCCAAGGGGTTATCCCACCTTCTTAAATCTGCCACAACTGTCCTTCTAAATTCCCCATGTTTGCATACTACCAAAACCTCCAAACTCTATACTCTGTCCCCATTTCTCACTGAATTTCAGAAACAATTTGTCATGAAAATTCTTATCCATTTTCCTGAAACATTAACTCTCTGAACAGGATTTTGCCTTGCTACATCACTGACCATGTCAAAATTGCACGATCTATGTTCTTATGACCATGAGAAATTATCCCTCCTTGTTCTCTGCAATTACTGATATAGTCAGTCCTCCTTCAATGGCATACAGCATTCTTCTGCAATGCCATCTCCGCTACCTCTCAGATTAGTGGACAGCCTTCATTTTGTTTAGCAAACACAGAAGCATGGGTAGGCCACTCAGCTCTTTGAGTCTGCTCAGTCATTCTAGATCATGACTGATCAGCTACCTTAATGCCATATTCCCATGCTATCCCTATCTCTGATGTCATTAGTAAGTAGAAATCTACGTTTGAACTTAATGACTGAATTTTCAAAACATACTGGACCAGAGCAAAGGTTCCTCATTTCAGTCCCAAATGCCTTGCCCTTTATTCTGAAACTGCCTCTCCTGGTTCCAGATCCCACAGCCAGGGAAACATCCTTTCCGTATCTCAACTGCAGTCACAAAATTGCCAACAATAGCTTACTTTGCAGCGCTCTCTCTAAAGTTGCTCAACACATAGTCTTGAACCTTTATTATGGTCATCTACATGACAACCTCTGCAAACATGGAGGTATCCACTGATTACGTCAACTTCAACACTTCTGCTGCCCATGTTATCTAAGTGACTGCCCAACAGCAATACTTCAATTAGCTACTATTTCGTCCAATTAAGCAGATCAAATTAATTTAAATTTGAAAACCATTTTTTACCTCAGTACACTTGTTACCAATTCAGCAAGGCCTTGGTTAGCTGATGACTAAGGCTGTTCATCCTATTTGGCCCAAGCCAAACTTCCAATCATGTATCATCTGTAACAATGTCTGATTTCTACTCGTGTAATATTGTCAAATCCCATTCTTCCTTAGCCCATTTGCTTTTAAAACCTTTAATCTTCCCTTCGCCACCTTCAGATTTAACTATTCCAGCTGCCCCTTTGCTGTGCTGTGCAACCAAACACAACATATCCAAAACTGTGTTACCTGTATTTCAACAAGCATGTCCTCCTCATCCAACACTTTCCCTAACTGATCTGCCTTGAGTCCTAGCCAATTATCTCCAATGCCTGTTACAGATTAAAGCAAAGTTGTACATCTGTAGCCAAGTCTGCAATATGATACACAATTTCTCCAATTTAAAATTCACACCTTTGTGTTTCAGTACTTTGATGCATCACTCTTCCTTGTATCCACAATCAGCTCGGGGAAATCTCCATCCTTTTAACTTTGGCCTCTAATTTGTGTCCCTCTTTCTTTACTCTACCACTGATGCAATCAGCTAGTTAAACTTAATATGCTGGAATTTCCCTTAGATCTCTCGAACCCAATCTGTTCTTTAAATGTCTTTTAAAAACCAACCTTGGAAAGCTTTTGGCAACTACTCTAGATTTTTTTTTGTCATCTTAATTTTTTTTCAGATTGCATCTTTCAAGCAACTTGGGACGCGCGGTCTGTGTTGGAAGGTGTTATACAAGTGCAAATTGTGGGGAGATGTGCCTGCAGGGTCTTTGAGGTCAATTGACTTGAGGATAACATGCCTGTTACAGATTAAAGCAAAGGTGTACGTCTGTAGCCAAGTCTGCAATATGATACACAAGCTAAACAAGCCCACAACTTTCCAAGGTGCTGCTGACAACCGACAAACTTCCTGGAAGTTGTACTGTATCGGTAACAGAGATCTAAGCCTCTTGCCACTTAGCTCTGAAAGCTAGTTTGCCAAGTACACTGATGGGCAAGAAATAAGAAATTTATCACTGCTCTGTGATACAAGCACAAGTTTTAGTTGAACTTCAGAAATACTCAAATATGCAGAACTGGTGTTTCCTAAGACTAGTCTTTTGCCAGCACCTACCCAAGTTATTTAACTTTAAAGATGTGGGACTTGCTGGATCACGTGCAAATAAAAATTGTATTTTCTTTCAATACCTGGGTTCAAAGACTTTTAAGCATAGTGTTATATTCTGTTTATTGGACATCTGGCAGAGCCAAAAAAAAATCTTCCCCATAAAAGTCAAACAGCACCTAATTTGTTACTGCAACTTGATTGCCAGTTTCTTCAGGTGATGGCTAGTTCTTCTTGGGCATGCCTTAAAACCATAGCATTTTCAAAAAGAAAATTTGCACTGATACATTCTTGTCCTTAATGTAAAGAGATTTAGCCACTGTAATCTAAATGTAAACAAGCAAACCTATAAAATGTTCTAAGTCCTGTTACCTGAAGACTTTCTACAACAGGTACAGGTGTCACAGGTGCATGTACGGGCCCCATCCCCTCGTAGAAAGTATATTCAGCCTTATCTGTGCTTATGATTGTCCAAGAGGCTCCATCGTTTATCATTTCTTTGTTTGGTTCTTTTGGACATGGAGTTGCCTGTTAGGGGAGGGAGGGAGGGGGCAAAATTAAATTAAAACACACAACTGTGACCATGACACACAAACTAAATCCAAGTTGCATTGACTGACTTAATGGAGATACAAGTTTTTAAATAATGAAAGATCAGTTCAGTTTTCAAAGTACAGTGGAACTTGTATTATTCACATTCTAATTATGCGTCATTATCTTCACTGATCAAAACATACTGTTTCTTTAATTAACCTATGACCAATCTCCTGCACGACAAAAATTAAACTGTTGAATCATCAGTCATCAATTGATGTTGTGCTTACTATGGGTTTTAAAACCGGTGTCTACTGTCATTGCTATACCAGAGTTTTGTAATATTTTCATAGTAAGCCCAATACATGTACTATTTGGTACATGTACAAGACCAGTGTTTTGAGATTCTCAAATGCCTTTTTAATTTCAATTCCGCAACCAGCAAAGTCAATTATGGCACCAATAGAAGTTCCACCGCTAATACACTTGTAAGTTTAACTTCACCGAATTTAAATCTACAGCATAAAACTTGTAACAAAATATTTCAAAAAAATAATTTTGGTACAACTTCCTGACTGCAAACGTTTGATGCAATCAGCCACGAAGTTCAGGTTAAAATAAAAAAACCTAACATATTTCAACAAGTAAGCAACAGTGCATTCTTCCCAAAATACATCTAACTGCACAAAAATCTAAATTTGTGTTGGCAGTAACATACCAGCTGCCATCCGTGCCATTCCAAAAAATAGATGTGTGTTCAACTTGCAGCCAATGATTTTACTTGTAAAAAAACTAAATTCTGAACATTAATTTTCATCTGTTAACATCCAGAATTGAAGAAACGGTTAGCGCAAAGATTTATATCCTTTTGCTTTAGTGATAAAATTCTCACATCTGAAAGAAAGATTTAGATTCCAGACCCATAGCAGGAACTTGAATCAAATTTATAGGTCAACATTTCAGCATGGTACTGACGGAGATCAGCATTATTAGAAGCGTAGTCTTTGGGCAAGTCAAATCTACAATTTCTATCTGCTACATGAACATAAATTTATTCAAAAATCAGATCAGCCAGTTCTTTTAACATGCTGCCTAACACTTATTCCCTCAACTACTAACAAAAACAGACAGTAGTACATTTTATTGTTTGTGAATTCTTATAATTGGCAAGTCGTTTCTGTGTTTGCCAACAAAAGAACAGAGACTTACCGTTAAGAAATGATTCTTTGGAACATCCCATAGATGAAGAGGACAACCATTTATATGGTGTTTTTTCATGTAAATTTACATTGAAGTAGTATTTAGGTGAATTAAGTTCAACAGATTTTTAGGTGGGAGCAGGCAATAATAATTTATACTGGTTGCACAGTTCATAAATTTCATCTTTGTTTAAATGTTCTAATGTATTTCAGAACACTTGTAGTATTTTCAAAAGCCAGAAGTATAACACATCTCAGATTGAAAACACTGCAATTTGTCAAGTTAGAATCTTAACTTGAGTACTGAGTGAACATAAAGTTCTGAAACCAGTACATTTAACAAGTACAGATAAACCTTCAAAGTATATTGTCAACAAGGTGCAGGGCTGGATGAACACAGCAGGCCAAGCAGCACCACAGGAGCAGAGAGTATATTGTCAATTCCATTTTTGATTAACCAGGGTTCTTGACCCAAGTTTAAATAGTTTGCAGCATGAATCTATCTGGATCAGTCTCAGTGTCCAGGAAAGGGGATGGAATTGTTATAAGGAACAAATAAAGTATCGCTATTGCTCAGGTCAAAGGAATGGCACTTTAAAAGCCTGCTCCTTCAGCAATCGAAGGGTGAAGAAAACGGGTGAGATGTAGAGAAAATGTAAAATTTGCTACCAGGAAATAAAGGAGTCACCTAAAATCTAATGTGACTTCTTCTCGTATAATACCCTTAGGCAACAGGGAAGATATGTTATTTGCTCAAGCTTCTGTCATGTTACATGGAAGCCAGAGCTACAAGATTGTTGTCAAACCAAACATTTGAGCCTATCCCTTTACATGGTAACACGTAGTTCCTTTTCACAATCATCTGATGACAAAGTAGATATCAGACACTAATTCTGGTCTAATGCAAATCCTTTAAAATTAAAAAAAAAAATTTTTCACAAAATGTGAGCATTGCTGGCAAGGTCAGCATTTATTGCTCAATCTTAGCTGCCATGCATAATTGGCACTGTAGAATAGTGCCATACACTATACAAACTTGTCTCTTAAAACTACTCAAACAAATCCATACATGAGGAGACAAATGTGTGCTGCTCCCCACTGACCCATTGTTGAGATAAACCTAACTTGAAAATCATCAAGTTTAGCAAATGAACTACTCTGAACAGTTTGAAATCACAAGTACACCATTTGAGAAACCTCAATAACAGCACATTTGGTTTTATGCTGAACATTAAGCACAAAGGATATCAGTTGCAAAATCTTATAGATGCAATTAGCTTCTACACTGCTCATTTGTGCATGACATTTAGCAATTTCAGCTGAACGGCTTTGGTAAGAATGGCGATTAATGACAAGTATTCAGTATTTGCAGCTTCATTATTCAACAATGAAATTATAAACTTTTTCATAAGCAAAACAACTTGAAGTTGAAATGAAAAGGAGCAAAGAGACTCTTTTGCTGTAGTATAACCTTATCTGTGTGGCGGACATATGTATTGGTTTACTGCAACATTTATGACAGAGCAGATTGCTACATAATTTAATATTATCAACGTACAAGAAAATGACTTTTGTTGAGAAAGACCATGTACTTCTGTCCATCTGATTTACAGGGATTGCTCAATTTAACTCTGCTTTTCGATTAAATAATTATTGCTGAGCTATATGAGGGGAAATTAGTAATAAAGACTGATCATGGTTTGAAAATTCGAGACTAATACTTCATTTTAAATGGGTCATATCTATTTTGTTTGACAACATTATTACCCTGTGCTGCACAGTCAATCCCATGACTGAACTAATTTCCTATACATCCAAGAGATCAATTTTCTCAGATTGCAATCAAAACAATGAGATGTGTGCTCTTGACATATTGCCATTTGGCTTGTTTCTAACTTCATCTCAGATAATGTAACCTCTGGAACTATGCACAGAATTTCAAATGCAGGGATAATTATCACTTGGAGAACCATAGCTACTGCAGCGTGCTATTGAAAAATAAATCTGCATTATGGCCAACTGATTCATTAATGTAATTTCTCAATTCTTTTCGTGCCCATAATCCAAGATGGATTGAAGAAATATGACTAATTTGCCCATAGCTAACTATAAACAATTGTTTGATATAACAGTCAAAGTAATTCATTTTCTTACTTGAAATTGGATTATCCTTTCTTGAGAAAGGCACAGATACATTCTTTCTGTATCTTTCAGGTAAAATGCACACTTATGGAGCTGTGATACTGGGTCATCTGCATCTAATAATGCTGTTTGTTTATCCACTTTACGAATTATCTGCAAAAATCAAGATATTTAATGTCAGTTTATTGAATTCTACAGTGACGTTGTGAACATTTGTACATTTGATATCCAAGCATCAGCTTGCTTTTAACCAAAGTAAATATTATATCACCAATATAAACAGAAATAAAAATGAAATAGCTGATCCTTCTCTCACATACAGACTACCAGGAGCATTTTGGGCCAGAACTCCTAACTGTGTAATGATAGCCTCTGTAACACTTGACCTAAAAAGTTTGTAATCGATATGTTGTCAGCATTTATGCTCAACCAACTTTGTTAAAGGTCAGTTCTATGCTTGAAGAAGTCTCCACTACCTCACCAAAACACAAAATCATCTTGGGGGCATGCTCAAGAGTGCGTGTAGCCATAACTCAGATACATTCAGAGGAAATATTGATCAATAAACCAGGTGAGAAAAGCCAATACAAGTGATGTTCTCCTGCTCAAAGTGTGCTTAGCCTGCTCTTGTTATAACAAACACTCTTTTCTGGTAGGCATAAAACTAACAAACTAAACAAGTAGGCCATTTGTCCCCTTAAGCATGCTCCACCAGTCAATAAGATCATGGCTGATCTCATTCTGGCTCTAATGCCACCTAATTGCAATAACCTGACTATTCTTCGTCAATAATTTATCACTACTTTAAAAATACTCAATGACTTTACCTCCACAGCTCTCTGGGAAAGAGGGAGTTCCAAGACCTGAAGTTCAAAAGTTAAACTTGCATCTCAATCTTAAATTGAAGACCTCTTTTTTGTTTAAACTGTGTCCCCTAATTCTAATCTCTATATCAAGGGAAATATCTTTACAGCATTTCCACCTTATCAAGTCTCCTCAGGAACTTGTATATCACCACTTCTTCTGAACACCTTTAGACACAGCCTCAGCCTGTCCACCTGTTCCACGTAAGATAACACAATCTGGATTGGGAACAGGACAGTCGTCAGATAATCATAGTCATAGAGTCCTACAGCACAGAGACAGGCCCTTTGGTCCAACCTGGTCCAGGCTGACCTAAATGTCCATCCATGCTAACCCCATTTCCCTGCACTTGACCCACATCCTTCTAAACCTTTCCTATCCATGTACTTGCCCAAATGTCCAAATCAAGTGAACTTTCTCAGAGCCAATACAATGCACTTATACCCAATCTTAAATAAGACAACCAAAACTCCACACTACTCCAGATGTGGTCTTACTAACATCTTGCATATCCTACTTTAATAATCAATTCCTTTTGCAATAAACAATAACATACTACTGTTCTTAGGAAGGATCACTCGACCCAAAAAGTAAACTGATTTCTCTCCGCAGATGCTGCCAGACCTGCTAAGCTTTTCCAGCAATTTCTGTTTCTGTTTCCGAGATATAGCATCCGCATTTCTTTTGATTTTTAATAAGATTTAATTGGTTTTACCAGTCATTTGTTGCTCCTGCATACTAACCCTCAGATGGTGATGGCTAGCACGAGGGGACATAGCTTTAAATTGAGGGGTG